GCTGAAGTAGCGTAAAGATAATTTAGCTCCCATCCCGAGTGTGTTTCATGTGTTTTGCACTAAACACACCGTCTACGGTCACCAGTGCACCTTCCTCACTTTTTTTATAGCCACTTGTCCACGACACTCTGTTTGTTTGTCTTGCCTTGCTCTCATGGGAACGTCTTCTGCGAAAGCACACTCCAGCTGATCTTTCAGTGCCCCCCCACACCCACCCCTGCCTGAAAAATGGATCTCGGCTGGCTTATTTTGACTTTGCTTGACAGCAGAAGACAAGCTGTGAGAAATGAAGAGAGAGACTAATGTTGGACAACACTGGGGTTTCTCCCAGTGTCGCGTATATATAGTGCTCTTTTCCCAGAGCTGTGAGCTGTTGGTATTCTGTGAGAGAAACAGGATCCCCACCAATGAAACGAGTCACTGTTCCTGCAGCCAAGCACCACGTGGCCCACTACCCATGCACTTCTTGTACTTGTCGACCTCACTACGCCCAGTTCAATTAAGCAATCTGCAACACCCGCAGTTTTTGTGTATCAGTCCTGGAGCTTTTTAAGGAGCCACTTTCAACCATCAAACTGAGAAGCCAAATCCCCTGCTAATGGCTCAGTACTGATACATTCATTCAACAAGTCCTCCAAATCAGGGGCGTATCTAGAGAAATTTTCTTAGGGTGGCATGAGGGTGGCAAAGAAATCAAATGGGGTGGCAAAATCAAAACCTTTTTTTTAAAACACATATGCAGGTGGTTACATATGGTTAAAATAATTCAAATGCTGTAAGTATACACGTTTTTCATATAAATATAGTCTATAACTTAATTATTGTCTGTAGCCCACATAATGACACACTTTAGTTACATAAAACATGTGAGTTTTGATCTTATGTACTGTATAGCCTGTATAATAAATAAATATGTAGCCCAATAACTATAAAATCCAGAAAGCTACACAAAATGAGGCAGTTCATTTACAAACACAAGTCTAATTAAGCTTCAGACTGTTTTTTGTTAGAAAACAATCACATTGTTACAGCTTAAATTACACAAAATGTCAGAAATATGCACTGTCATGAACAAAAATTTAAACCTAATTTTTCACGATTTGTTGGATTAACCCACTGAGGTCTGAAATACAACCAACCATTTTTGACTCCTTTTGTAGTTCACCCTCATATTGTTTCATTTTATTTTTTCCTCCTTGCCTTGTTTGGTATCTTTTCAGCTCAACTGAATTTAGTTTTTTTTTTCACTGACATACTGCATTAGTGTTACTGATCTGAAATCACACAAAGAACTTAAAAATCCTAGTAGTATTTTTTTTTTTACTGTAAAAAAACCACAGACATGTTGAGTTTTATAACTTGAAATGCAAATATAAAATGTACATTTTGTAAACATATACAACTATTTATCTAAAAATGCAGCCAATACACCTGCTGTTTTTATCATTTTGTACAACTATTTAAAAATATTACTAAAACTAAAATGAGAGAACAATCAGGTGTTGTAATAAGATGCCCCACAAATGATGTGTGCCAGTAAAAAGCACAGTTTGTCCACCAAAAGACCGATGAGAACAGCACAGGGAGAAACCTGCAGGCCTGACAACAGGAGGTGTATCACTCCGCTGGTTTTCTACTTAGTGACAGTGTTTAC